AGCAGCCAAACAAGCTGAAAAGTTGGTAGAGTCGAATAGACCATTGCAGACCCAGGTTCTCTTTGTCCGTACATTCAGTAGTCCACAGTGTGGTAAGGGGAACAGGAAGCTGCTTCACCGCAGGCTTCTGCCTTCATGGTTACAGGTTGACAGTGGCAACCAGGCTGACATATTTCCTTATTTATGTTCAACAAGAAAATGGACTCTCCCACTCCTGCTAATCCTTGTTTTCTGTCTGATTAGGCAAGTTCTAACACATACCCATATTCCCAGATTAACCAGAGTCCCTCGGAAGTAGCTAGAATCTGTGTTTTACTCTGCTTTCTGTTGCTTTAACCCAACACCTGAGAATGAGCCATTTGTGAACAAAAGGGGTGCATTTAGCTCGTAGTTCTGGCGGCTCAAAGATTCAAGATCAGGTACTAACACAGGCTCAGTATCTGGCAAGGACTTCTTGGTGATCCCTTCACTGCAAAATAAAAAGCAGGAGAAGCAGACACATGTAGAAAATAAAAGGAGGAATCACCCCACATTAGTTGACCTACTCCTAAGAGAAAACCATCCGTCTATTAAGCCTGGCTCCATCCACATGATTTACGCAGACCCTCCACTTAGCTGCCCCTCCCAGTGCTGCCAAGATGAGGAATCAATCCTCAGCTTAACCACTCAGTACTGACAGGAGAGGATGTGAGTGGAGACTGAGTCCGGAGGGGCACCCAAAACTCCATTACAGCCATCTCTTCTGATACCTTGTGAAAGGCAGCCTAGAAAATCCTTTACTACATCCAGTCAAGATGTACTTTCTGTAATACTGAAAAGTTGAGCCTGTGTCTTAAATCAAAAGCAAAATCTCTGCAGGGTTCTCTCTGAAGTCATTTCCCTCTTTATTATGTAGTGTCCAATGTCCCCAGCCACTGTTGTTGGAAACAATGGGATGAGTTGATATCTATACCTCGAATGCTGAAGAGCTGTCTGAGAAAAGATCAGATAAGCTCCAAATTCAAAGGCAGGAATGCTATCCCCTGTTGTGGTGGCAGCTGGCGTGAAGCTTCAGGATTCTGTGAGGTGGGGCCTCTCCCAGACATACCTCCCTGAGAGTAGGAAGGCATAATCGGAAATACTCCCCAGCACACGCTGGGCCTGGCACACAATGTAATCTTTATAAAACAATTCTTGCAAAATTGCCATGCACCAAGACATTGGTGCTTCCCCTGGTTTAAGGACAGAACTCGTTGGCTGTAAATATTTAAGCATTCTGGCCAAGGGCATGCAGCAAATAGCCAGAGGCCAAATTAGACTGAAACCCTAAGCGAAGAGGACTACCAAAAAAAGATGAGGCTGTGACCTGGAGAAAGACATGAGAACATGTAGTGATGTCTAAGTGTTTCGATGCTGGTGTTCTTGTGAGGTTTGTAAAGACATCAAGGTAGATCGGATGGCAGAAATTTATTATAAACACACACACACACACAAGAGGCCACTATGCCTGGTGCTCTTGAAGTTAGAGATTAACTGCTGTTATTATTTTTCAAGTGAAAACTCCTGGGAGAGAAAAAGGAGGTGGGAAGGAAGTGGAAATTTTTAATAAATAAATAAATTAAAAAAAAACCTCCTACAGATAGGATGTGACCTGTTCTGTAGAGTGAACTCTCGCTGTCCTACCTTATCTTCCACCAGTAGCAGTTACAGTAGGTTAGGTGTTAGTAGGTTCATGTTAGGTGGGTGCCTAGAAGAAAGGAGTTAAAATAATTGAGCAACAGATCACTTAGGAAAGATCTCTACATAAGTAGGAAGCATCCTTTTAAGAGAATCACATTCTATCTTCTGTTCAATGAGTGAGAAAACTAAAGAACACGGAGGACTCAGTGAGTACAGTCAGGAAGACTCTAAGGGGGAAAAATGCAGCAAATTTAAAAACAAAGTCATATCAAACAAACAATCCTAATAATGTACTAATAATTATTCTAAATACTTTATAATCACTTGATGCAGTGACTATAATTCTTGGGTTAAATGCCAGAATCCCAGGTCTTCAGATGAAAAAAGGTATAAAGTTTAAAGTACAGAGGTACAAAGGTTAAAAATCTTGTCTGAGGTCACACACTAGCATGACCACTAGGCTTTGGATCATTTTTTTTTTTTACCAACCTGTCACTGATTTAGCAGAAAAAAAAATAATTTTGTGGGAAGAAGAAACTTCTAGGGGCCAAAGCAAAATTAGACTTGAAACATAACACTGGTATCATATGGTTCTAGAAGTCTGGACCATGGAAATAGGACTGGGAGGCTAACACTGAGAAACGCCCAACTGAGAAACTAGGTGCTGTGAGCAGAAGGAGGGAGAACATGAGCAAGGAAGTCAGGACCGCAAGGGGTGCATCCACCCATGGAGATGGTGGGACTCATCTAATGGGAGCTCACCAAGGCCAGATGGAATGGGACTGAACGCGCATGTGATCAAATCAGACTCTCTGATTGTGGCTGACAATGAGGGCTGACTGAGAAGCCAATGATAATGACACCGGATTTGGATTCTACTTCATGTACTGACTTTTTGGGAGCCTAATCTGTTTGGATGCTCACCTTCCTAGACCTGGATAGAGCGGGGAGGGTCTTGGACTTTCCACAGGGCAGGGCACCCTGACTTCTCTTAGGATTGGAGAGCAAGGGGGAGGGGGAGTAGGGGTAGTGGGAGGGAAATGGGAGGATGGGAGGAGGTGGAAATTTTTAATAAATAGATAAATTAATTAATTAAAAAAAACAAGAAAAAGAACAGGGAGCTTCTGAGATATCTTGTTCATTCTATGCTACTTCCGCAAACTGACCTGAGAAGGTAGATCTGCAATAGAGTGCTTGCATAGAGTATACAAGATCCTGATTTCAGTCCCCAGCACCACACATGCTGATAGAGAACCTATTAGGACTGGGGAGATAATTCAGTTGGTAAATGACTTGCTATATAAGTGTGGACTGAAGTTTGGACTCCCAGAACCCACATGTAATGGTTATTTACTACTGTATCAAGGTAACAGCAAGCATCACCTAGGAGACAAGCCTCTGGATGTGTGCAAAGAAGGATGGATGTTGGTTCTGTTAGTTGAGGAAGAAAGGCTCACCCTAAACATGGGCGGTGCCATTCTCGGGTCACAGACTAAGAAAAGGAGAGATCCAGCTGAGCACCCACGTTGATCGCCCTCTGGCTTCTGACTACAGATGTAATATGCCCAGATGTCTCCAGCTCCCGCCACCAAGATCCCCTCCACATCCATGGTGGACCATGCGCTCACATAATGGCCCAAAATAAACCCAATGGGAAAAATACTAAGACACTACATAAAGCTACACTCAGTTCCTTGTCCCAGTGGCCCTCAGAAAGATGAGAGACAGAGACAGGAAAATCCACAGAAGACCAGTGGCCGGCCAGCCTGTGTGTCCTTTCCTGTTCCAGACAAAGCGGAAGTGATACACTAGGGTATCATCTAACTTCCACTCATGAAAAGGAAAACTTCAGGTCATCGTCTTAGATAGTAATGTCCAGCTGTGCTTTTCTCTAAACTCAATACCGAGGGCTTCCCTGTTTACAGTACCAAATTATGGCTCCTGCTTCAGAAACACACTGGCTGTCAGACTCAGGAAGAATGAGCTTTTGTTTGGTGAAACAAACAAGGGCGTTTGGGGCTGTCTGGATTTCCCTGCTAAAGAGAGAGCTTTTGTTGGATTTGGATTACTGGTTATTCCTCCGACGTACACCACAGGTTGGCAGGAGAAAGGGCCAACATCCTGCTGCTTCCCTGGGTAGGAGCAGCCTTTACTTTCTGTTCTGTGATAAACAAGTAGCAATAAATACGCTTCTGAAGCCGTGCCTGAGAATTTATAAAAGCTAGGATAAAGTGACCATTGTGTTATAAAAATCACCATGCTAGGTTTGAGCTACCATTTTCAGAGTTAAATAATCCCAGGGGTGGTGGGCTTTTTATACCCTGTACTCTCAGAAGAGCCAGTTGCCAGGTTGAATTATCCATTAAAAAAAAAAAAAAAACCCTCTCCTTGTGGCTGTAAAACAGCTCCAGATTGCTTCCTCTGCACGCTGAAGGAGGAGCTGACAGGGCCCCAGATGGAGCTGTTTCTCAGCAAGCTGTCAGGTGATCCATCTATCAGAAAAGCCATAGCACCCAGCTGAGTTGACTATTGCTGCCAAGAATTGCACTGGGTCAGGTGTAAGAGGCCAGGGTCTGCAGAATCCAGATGAACAAAGGTCAGAAGCATCGCCAGAGAGGACAGCTATGTGTTCATGCTTAAATTCCCCAGGTTACACTTAGCATTGCTTTAGACAGACTTGACATGTTTTCTGCCTGCTTTTCTTCATATGGATTTCCTGACATTGGTACTGAGAGATTGTATGAGATGGTTCTGGGAAAAACCAAAGCACAAAGCTGCATTATAGCAAGCCTGCTCAAAATGCATTGGATTGTTGTCTGCAAGCCAAGAAGGCTTTTCATTCACAGACCCCAAGAAGGTGTGATGAGATCATTGGAGGCGGCAAAGCTAAGGGATTAGAAGTGAGCACAGACCTAAAAACCATCACCCGCGGGCTTGATGCCTTCCACATTAGCCTTACCTCATCTTGGAAACTGCCATTCTAAAAGATAAAAGCATGATATGATATGTGAGTCTATATCCCCCACCCCTGATGAAATACCGAAGATGATTCAGACTAAAAAAAGAGACTGGATGCAATCAGAGAACACCAACAACTGGATTAAATACTTCAGGTTCAATGAAAAGCTGTACTGCCTTTATTAAAAGCACAGAAAATTTCTTAAAAGGTTTTAGAAAGAAAAGGACTAGCAGGCATGTTTGCTCTTCCCCTGCCTGCCACACCATTGACTATGCGTTAAATCAACTCTTCTTTGTTCTGGAGAAAAAAAAAGAAAAGAAAGAAAAACGATGTCTGTTTTATCCTTAAATAGTAACTCTGGCCTTCTTCCCCTCTTTTGTAGTGATAAGGTGATAAGGCTCACACCCAAAACTGAAGAGGAAGCCTTCGCACTCAAGAACATCTACCACCGACTCCAGGTAACGAAGCGTGCGCTTATCTTGCGGTCAAGCCTGTGGCCTATTTGTGACTTGACTTTGCTGACTGAGGTTGAATAATTAGAATCAATAACCAGGTAAAGAGATGGCGTGGAGGAGCATTTAAAGGCGAGTGGATGCAGACAGGGCACAAATTATCCATCACACCATTTATTTGCTCGTTCACTGACTATGCATCTGCCAGGTGGAATGGATGCATCTTAGGAGGTTTATTCACTGTTGTGTTCCCAGTGAGCATCCGGAAGTGGTAAATAGTCAATGTTTTCTTTGGGGTTGTGAATTTAATTGAGAGTTTTCAGAACTCCACTTCTCCCTTTTGAAATCTTCCTCAAACACATCTATCTTCTTCTTTGGATTAAACTTCTAAGTAGATGTAAATTGGGGAAGTTGAAGCTTGGCAGTCATTAACATCACTGTATGTTGAGGGTTTGCCCGGCAATGGCTGAAGGTGTTGCTCATTCATTCTCTAGTGGGTTGCGTGGATCTGGAGTGAGAGTCTCTCATCAGTTTGTCACTGCCTATGGTTACAGCTTCCTCTAAAAACTTAAGATGAGAAGGGTGGCTACTGATTCTCCCCCATGCTGACTGAAATCGGCTGGTCCATGGAGCATGCGTTGTGTGGGACTCCTAAAAGACAGATTGCCAGGGAGGCCTCGTTCATCTTTAACATGGGACAGTGAGAGTCTCTCGGTGATGGAAGTTCAAGCCTCTGTGATGAGGGTGTTAGAGGGCCTGGGAGAGAGTCACCAGTGACTTGTAGGTGAGTGGTTTGTAGCTATCAGGCCTTTGAACTTTCCCTTCTGGTTGGTTCTATTTGGCATCTTCCTTGTAAATTTTGCACTTACCTGCAAATGGACTCTGATTTGAACTCTGCGGTCATGGGTCTCTTATCTTTCCCCTCTTTTCTGACCCTGAGACTAGTAATGGTATCTTGTGGCCTTCTGCAACTCATGCTTAACCCAGAAAGATGTGTCGGAGTATCCTAACCCTCCCCTGCTCCAAGGCCCCATCCTGTGGTGCTGGGCATTAACCCTCTGTGGTAGGGCAGGATCGTCTGCCTCGGAATGTTCTTCTCAGTTAGGATCGTCTGCCTCGCAATGTTCTTCTCAGTTACGATAACCAGACACTTCTTCCCAGACATCACGCCAGGGAGTTAAGCACAGCACAGAAGCAAAGAAAATTCAAGCAGACCTTTGTGTCTCCGCCCCATCACGTTTACATACAGCGCAGGAAGAGAGAAATCACGTTGACTCCCGTTTGAGGGAACAGCAATTCTGAATCAAACACGGAACCACAGGATTTTCTTCATTTAGTCACATTTGATAAAAGGTCACCGGCCATTATCAAGAGTGATACAATTGCTCCATAAATGAAAGCAAAATATATTGAACATTCAGAGGGTCACTGGCATGGATGGCCACGTGTGTGTGCTGTGCACATTTACATGAGTGGCAATTGTTGTGTGACAAGACTTTTCCTGGGGAGATGCAACATGCACATTGACTCACCACAGACACAGGGAGCCCATGGCAGAGCAAAGTGTGGATCCCACCAAAGTCCAGCTAGGAGAACCTAGCTGAGTTTTATTGGGGTTACTTCCAGCAGTGTGGGTGACAGGTTCCTTACAGAAGCAGAAATGACTCAAAGACAGCGGCATCACCAAGCCCACTCGAGCACAGGGAACCTGGAACACACTACACGGGCTGCAGGCAGCTCAACAGGCTGGAGAGCACCCTTTGCAGGTGCCTTAGTTGTTCTAACCCTCTTCTTGGAAGGTTGGCTGGTTTCTGCTTCTTCGGGCAGCCAGTCTTCTCTCAGAGCCATCTTTGCAGCTTGGCTTATCTAAGAGTGATGTTCAGAAGTATTTATTGCTTACTCTTGGGAGGAGGGGCCTAGCTAGCACTCTGGTTGGTTTCTGGGACTTCCCAAAGCTGTTTTGGGAAGTTTACCTTCTGGCTCCCAGCCTTTTCCTGGAGGGTGGAATGCTTCAGTCTCAAAGGAAACGTGCACACAACCATTACAGCAAAACAGTCCTAAAACCTGCTTTCATTTAGTCTTTGAGGAAAGTAGTCAGCCATGGAGAAAATATCTTGGAGCTACAGGAACTTAGAAGACAATTCAAAGAAGGGTGGGGAGAGCAGCAATGAGGAATGGCGTCAGGGACTCAGTGGTTGGCCCGAGGCCTCATGCGACTCATCGTGAGAGCTGGCTGTGATGTGCACAGGGGAGCAGAGTCAGCAGAGGGGGAACAGTGGGTGAGTGGATCCGGGGGAATCCAGGCAGAGGCTCCCAAGGACCTTCTCAATGGCATCCCACAGAGCATGCCTGATTCTCACATGCACAGTGATGGCTGCTAAAGAGGCTCCCTAGAGACTCAGTACTCAACATTCTTATGGGGACCTGATTATACCATGCTCTTCCTAACACATACCAAAATTCCAGATTCCCAGAAGAAAGCCAGGTATTTGACGTGAACCATGCGGCTTGCACAAACAGCATCGGTGCAGTGAGTCCCTGTTATCAATGACAGTGACGGGAGTCTTCCGAAAATCTAAGTTTCCTGATACCAGCCCCAGGAGAGCTATGCAAACAGGCGCTCCGAAAGACAGCATGCCAGGCTGCTCTGCTGAGTCTCTTCCACACATCGCTTCATTTCCTTTCACAAGTGGGGTAGTCTTCCTGGACTGGAGTTTGAGGTATTGAATTTGGATAACTTTCTACCTAGAAGCACCCTCCTACCTTGATGTCATTTTAAATATGAATTATTTCACCAAGGGATCCTCTCCCACTGTGGAGAGCAGAAATTCTGGCAAGCTCGAGAAAGCAGTCTGCGGGGAAGAAAGAATTGACTTTCTGTTATCTTCTGCCATGTGGGGCTCATGGACCAGAACCAGGGTCACTGCAAACAGCTTCCATGCATCTGTGCAATGAGTGCTCTTGGGAGACAAAGGAGGAGCTTCCATGAGGAGTTGTGTCCCTTTCTCCTAGCATAAGATATAGTTGACAGAATTCTAAAGGCCCCAGCTCTCTGAATGCTTCTGCCCCTGCACTGCAGAATAGCTTCACTGTGAGCAGGGCAGGGTGGACATCCCAGTGTTGATGGCACATTACATAGCAGAATGGAGACCACCTGGGGTGGTCTGAGAAAATCAGACGAACCTTTAGAAGCCAAGAGTTTTTCTCCAGCTATCACAGAGGAAGAGGTCAGAGGAACATTCCTCATCGTCTTAAAGAAAGCAGTTCACAACCCCCGCTATGCTTGGGAATCTTTCTTGGGAGTCACATGGCCAAGAATGCCAATGACAGTGAACTCTGGGATATGAGAATGATCCCTAACTGGCAGGTAACCATGAAATAAAGATATCAGTCCTATAGATTGCAGGACCCAGATGAGAATATACCCCCTTCCCATTCCTGGATACTTTGATTTTAGCCCATTGAGACCCTGGGGAGAATCCAGCCAGCTGGGCCTGGACCACTGATCTGCTGGACTGGGAGGTAATAGGTGGGCTTTGTTTTAAACAGCTAAACTGATGTTGATTTCCGGAGCAATGGAAAACAGATTTATCATACAGTACCCACCCACATCCTGCCCCTTGGCTCTCATTTTCCTATGTGACAGTTCTAAGTTAATTGTCCTGATTTCACTGTCTATAACTGAGCCTCTTAGGGAGCGTGGAAAGTGACTCACTGCCATGCTTAGCTGTAAATTCACAATGCCTTATCTGAAACATGATCAAATGCATGATGTGCATACAATACTGAGTGGAATCTAAAAATGTACGGTCAACACACAGTTAATTAGACAGAGGCAGGGCTGCTTGCTTTCCTAATTAAATTTTATAGTTTTGCTGAAGACTTGAAACAAGAAAGTTAAACAGAAAACAGTACCCCCAGAGAACAGGATTGAGAAAGCACCAGCCAATTAACTTGTTAATTAAGACCATAACCGTGGCTTAAGCCAAGTTATGATAGAGGAGGAACAGTTTGCAGGTGAGCAAAATTAGAATCCAAAGCCTGTGCTCCATCTGCAGATCCCCACCAGGTCTTTGTGCTGAGAAGGAGGAGAAGCAGCTTCATGTGAGGTTCCGGAGTGTCTCTTACGCAATCTGCTTCTGTGTCCTTGCACTGCAGGAAAACATAATGATTATTTGTTTCCAGATTCCTCATCAGAGGCAAGCTAGAACAGGACAGGAAATTGTCCTGTCTGTCCCAGACTCAGTCTTGTGTTTACACACGGGAGCACAAGTTCAAAGATACCAGTTGGTTGGCCAGATGTCATTGACAGTCATTTCAAGATCACACTCTGGAGGCTCCCAGAGACCGAGGCGACAATCAGGAAGCCTGTCTGTATGGGTCTGATCTAGGTCCTCTGCTTACAGGCTCTGGTTGTGCAGCCTGGTGTTCCTGTGGAACTCCCAACAGGGGGAGTAGAGCTGTCTTTTGCTTGTTCTTAGGACCCTTTTCCTCCTACTGGGTTGCCTCAGTCAGTCTTAATAATAGGGGATGTGTCTAGACTTATTGCAACTCCAAATACGTTGCAACTTATTGCAACAACCATGTTTGGTTGATATCCCTGGGAGGCCTGTCCCTTTTCTGAAGGGAAATGGAGGACCAGAAGATCTGGGGAAGAAGGAAAGTGGGGGAAGAAAGACTAGGAGGAGAGGAGGAAGGGGAAACTGCTGTCAAAATGGAATACATGAGAGAAGAAGAAATGAGAGAGAGAGAGAGAGAGAGAGAGAGAGAGAGAGAGATTCCATCCTGGACATCTATACACCCCATGAGGAAGGCTCCGTCCATAATGGTTGCTGCTGATGTCTGGAATATGGGTCCTCCTCACCCCCATTTTATAGTTCTGTGCTGTGGTAAACATAGGTGTACCCTAATATTCATGGATGCACTGAAGGTCACACAGCTGGGCTGCAGGAACTTTGGAACCCCTGTAATTTCTGGAAGTATATAAGTTCTTACATCCAACTGGA